GGTTAGGCTTGGGAGCCCGCTGTGAATCTAGTGGAATAGCGAATGTTTGATACGGGTCACTAAAAGCGGTAATAGATGTTTAGTTCTAGACTTTATTCCTTTAACATGACTCAAGTCATACTCCTAAAGTGCTTTAAGTCCAAATGAAAGTTGGCTCATTGCCCTTTAAAAGATTGGAAGTTGACGTGAAAATGGAGTACAGTACCGCTCAATGGCTATTTACTATGCTGGTAAATTAACAGTACGGTATACCAATGTTAACCTACAGTTTACTAATCCCATGGTTGTCGAATAAACCGAATTCCAAACTTAACGGCTGAGATTACCCTGTCATTGTCAGTAAGCAGAACCAGGTAGACTTCATATATCACAAAAGTCATATAACGGAGGCACAACTAAATAATATAAAAACGGGTGCTGAGTGTAGAGGATGTAGATATTTAACATGACAGTTTCACAGATCTGCAAAAATATCGTGACAAAAAATTAGGTCCTAATGGAAATTTATCGAAACATGAAGCATGAGTGCACGGGGTATCACTGTACATAATTGCCGTTTTATGACGGCGGCCTTAAGTATCATCTACCATACCACATGGCCTAGGTGCATAATTTCCACATCCGTAGAGTTTTTTGAAAACCATATAATAATCCTAATATGCATTCTATTCACATGTAGTGAAAATTGTGAGAAAGAACTAAAGTATCAGCTTTTCGGGCCGCCCATTCGGCAGTGAAATTGACTACAAATTCGTTTTCTGTATTGGTCCGCTAATTTTCTAATAACTTGTGGTGTCTTCACCAGCAATGTTGCTAAGACTATCACTCGACAACAAGGAATATAACTTTATGAGGCAAAGTTATTTTTAAGCACATTGAAATCCCAACTTGACATTTCCATAATTATTTATCCTAAGTCAGTTCAAGACTAACAAGAATGAGATTTCAGGTAAAAGGTAGTAGAAAACTATATACAATAGAAAGAGATTGCGTTTTAGTAGGTAAAATGTCCGCTTTGTGCAAATATAAGGTATAAGGGCATTTGAATGATGAACTTGGTGTCAACTAGTTGTTACAAATCTTTCCTTCCTATTTAAATGAAACCATTGTGGAGGCGTTTGCTCGAAATCAGTGACAAATAATGCGACTAGAGGAGCTGACGACTAAAAATTGGCTCAAATACTGGAATTTTTGGGCTTCAGCTGGACTCTATACTCAATCCAATTTGTTTTTGGATTTACAAATCTAACTTCCAAAAACGAGGAATCTTGAGTTGGTTAGTTATGGGCATTTAACTCAATAATGAATGTTTAAAAAGCCATATATTTAGGAATAAGATTTGTAAAAACTGGCATATAATAAACACAATTAAAAGCAATTTTTAAACATAACTATTATTGTGAAAATTTGCACTTTAATGTCGCTAATCAATCATCGTTTGCGTAAAAATTCTTCTTAAGTAAAAATGTGATTAGCACTAACTTTTGTTAGTAAACCAATGTAAAGGTTTTGGAAGGTTTTGTGGATTTCCGTTAAAGCTGTTCAAGCAAAAATAGAAAATCCAAAAAATCTTTTACAAGGTGGAGTTTTTAGGCAACAAGTCACTGCGAACTTCATTGGTAGGCAAAGGAAGTGTTTATTGTCTTGCAGGAAACTTATACAGTCTCAGCAGTATCCACAATTATTCTGATATTCATGTAGTGATGGCATGGTTGCTTTTGTTACAGTTGTGAGAAGATCAAATAGACATTTTAGGTCAGGAATACGCAATGTACTTTAAATTGCATGGTGTATGTGCTTTGCTCCATGTATTTATTTAAGTCAAAAAAAGTGTAGTGCGCTCTATGTACAAAAGTCATAAAACTTGGTTTCTATACAGAATTTTTCTGTAAAATTTACTGTGACTTTCTACAGGACTTATTTGGGAATAAAACTGCCTCCAGTTTAGATAAACAGGCAGTTCTTCACATCTGATATTAAAGTGTAGGATGGTGAGTCAACGACGCTACGAGGCAAGGAGGCAGCTAGCAAACACCAATTTTTCCACGTAGACACATGCAGCATAAAATCTTGTTCCTGGTGGACAGATGCAAGTTTGACTTTAATCACGCTCTATCACATAAAGAGGTCTATTGAAACCAAAAATAAGGTTTTAGTCCATTAAATGACTAAAATATGAAGCAAAAGCGGATGATGTATGTAGGAACAGTTGAGATATGATGCAGATGAAGGGATATCATGATAACGAACGACATTTGAAATCGAGCCAAATCTCTATCCGTGCAGTCTAGATAGCTCCTATTAAATCAGATGTTCATAATTGATGTCTTGCTTAGAATTCTAACCAAACAAACTGTTGCCACTCTAAATAAACTTAAAAAGGGAAGACATTATTATTTTTTTGGAAATATTGTCACTTGAGGTGTTTAGTTACCTAGTAATCAAAACCGTGGACAAGAGATATTTGCATTGAATTCATTTTTAACTTTTTGATAACCTGCTACGGCAAAGTTATTCAAGAGAATAATCTTATGCGACTAAGCGCAAGAATAATAATCTGTGGGCACCCAACATCCGCGTTTTGCGCTGCAAAACTTTTTACATACAATGCGTACTAACAAACTCATTCTTCTTCTTCTTGCAACCACAACTGTCAAATCCGTTGCAAATACCAGTCATTTGATTAAAAATTCTGATTATTTACAGCCCTGACTTAAAAACGGACCTAGTAGCATGAAGAGTAAAAAGATTTATAGTACTTGGTAAAAATGATAGGCAGATGAGAATGTTCTCTCAGTACTTAAAAAAATGGCTGGAGAAATAATTTGAAAAAAAAACAATTATCCGTTTCGTATTTTATATACGTAAACAGAAAACTACTTCATCGATGTTTATTGACATCAGCGGATAGCCTAAAAAGTCCGGTGAGTGAAATTGCAAATCACTTCTCACTTCTAAAATACTTCAAATATGTGAAGACAGATAATAAACCGAAGAGATTTTTAAAGATGAAAAAGGTTAGTGGGTATTACGGAAAATGTAATTTCAGGGGAAATACGTACCCTGTTCCAAAATAGCAATATCGTATGAGCCTTCTCCATTCCGTCGAGGAATAGCCAAACAATGATTAATATTGAGAGCAAGCTAAAAGGGCAATAGGCTACAACTAAGGTACAATGTATAGTAATCATGATAAACTCTAAATATGTTTATGCTTTAAAAACGGACTATAATCGACTCTAGGAAACACAACAAATGTCAATTGGAAAAAACCGGGGCGCGTTCTCGTTGAGATTTGCAAATTGTGGATCTAAATTTACAAAAATCGGTTCCTAATGTAAAATTTATAACTAAGAGGCAACTCAGTTATTTATAAACCATCAAGAATACGGACAATATATTTTCGTGAGCACTAGTATTAGACAGGATAATTAAGCAGCACTTTGTGTCGTACATTCCTAAATCATTAGAGCTACAACCGTTAAATAGACAAAAAAACTTCAAAATTAACCTTTGTAACTAAATATGACCAGTCAGCCGAGTGTCTCCATCGAAAATAATTGCTTAAAACCTCGTCCAGCACCACTTATTCTCCCACCAAACAACTCTTTTAACGTGTAAATATTTGAAAAAGGCTGTTAAGACTCACCGCAAAGAAAAGAATACGGAATCCAGGCGTCAAAAATGCACACAACATCGATGAAACCCGATTATGAGCCACCTTAAGAAACGGGCAACATTGACTGGTGATACGAATTAGGTAATTAAAACAAAAGTGCGCATGATCAAATTAAAAATTTGAATTGAAAGCCTCTTATATTAAAATCAAATTTTTTGTTACAACTTTGATTTGTTATAAAGCTGTTGGGTGATAATGGACATACTTTGTGAAATTTGCTCGTGCGAATTGCTTGTGTTACGAGGGGAAAACTGAAAAAATAGGCCACTCACTTTGCAGCACTTGTGGTTTCTGCCTACATATTTTGGTTTATAGATGCATATGTTAATTTCAGGCTACGTTTTTTGGCAATGTTATTTTCATATTTATTACTGTAACAAATACTAAGGTATTACTTGCTTAATTCATACATGGTTTTTAACTTTTCTTTTCTTTATTTGCCTAACAGGACTGTGTAACTACTCTTTAGTCCGATCTTATTTCATTTGCTAAATATCTCTATGTAACTACACCTAATAGATTTATTCGACAATAAACTTTCTACGCATTGTTCGCCTTTTTTTGTCTATAATACATAGGAAAACTGATGCCCAAATTAACTATGTCATGAACCATTCAACCCCATCTTTAAACTTGCACCAACAAATTTATCTCCAGTCTGTGTTAAGCCTTTACTTCATTCACACATAAATATTCCATAAATCATTGGCACGTTCCTTTATCCTGTCCATTTAACTTCCTTCATTTTAATTTGCTGTATTAATCATTTATTTGTATAATCGGCAAAGTTTTTCGCCCCTTAAACTTGTTTCCTTATTCGCTCATCGAAATTGAACTCGCAAGAATAAGGGTATTGATAATTTGAAAATGCCCTGTATATCCCAATTGCTTTTGCAGACGATTATTACCTCATGAATACCGAATGTTCTTAAGATATTTAGATGACAACAGCAGGAACTTTGGCTCTCATGAATAAGTGACTTTTTATGTGGTATTCCTACAATTAGGTTTTACGAATGTCATGGTCAAGAGAGTTGTATGTGCGCGACGGTATTCTTAATACTAGCAAAAAAGTGGGTCAAGTTTGCAGTGAATTATCCACAAATTTCAAGTTCCTATTTTATAAGTTTTTAAAATTTATTACCTTTAAATCCATGCCAATTTTCCGTTCCATCTGGGCAATGGTGAATCGTGATAGTCAGATCTATTTATTTTGGCCATTACTCAATTTCAATCAAATGTATTTCCCGATCGGATTGTTTGAATCTTCCAAATATAAATATTCAGAAAGTACACAAATGTCGACATTCTTTTTTGTCCTATGGATCAAATGGATTTGTCTATCATCTCGCCTCCATTCAGTGAGTTTAATGCATGTTCATCAGGCCGAACATGGACCTGAGGTGGTGTGACAGTCTCTAAACGCTTTGAACATGAACTTGAAATGGGATATATTTTCAAAAAAAATGATGAAAATACCCATCTCGGTTCCGAATAATGCGTTAAAAGTTGTGAATTTATTTGCTTAATCAGACCATCTCCTACTGATGAAAATGAGAACAGCCACAATTTTTTGTATACATATTTCGATTATCTCTTAACTTAAACAGAGGTGAGATCATTCCAAAAGTATTCTATGCGCTACCAAGTGCTTGCAACTGCCTACATACATCCTAAATTAGCTGCAGTCATCTCAACAAAAGACACCAGTGGATCTTATCATTTCTACAAAAACTTTTCCTTTCCCTTCGTTAGTGAGTACTCTTGCCTCCTTTCTTCACCTATTCTTTCTGTCTATTTTCTAAAGTTCATTTAGAAATGAATAACCATACCAAAAAAGTCAGCTAGTTTTATCATGTTTGTACGGAAGCATTTTCCCAAGTTTAATAACTTTATCATCCAAACGGTATTTCCCTGCTTTTTATTTAGATTAGATTAATTAAGATTTTTGCGCACATTCTGTGCCATCATTTTAAGCCAATGATAATAAGAGTTGACGGTATATGCATTACAGATATATCGAAAGAAGGATTTTAGATCAGACTCTAGATTATCTACCATGGTTGATGAAGATCCACTCAAAAAATGCATTTCTCTTTCCTAAAAGTACCAGGCCAATACCACTAATAAACACTAGTTGGCAATAACCTAGATAAATACAGGATGTGGCCACACTTTGTCCTAATTAATTAATCATGTCAATGAACAACCCAATGTACGGCTGTTCATAGTCAACCTTTGTGATTTAGCCCCTCCAGCTAGTTCGGTCAATCTGGTCTTAATGTCCTAATTAAAAGCATGAACAACATATATTCAGGTGAACAACATTAGAATTGATTAGTGCATTTATTGGGGAAAGAGCAAATCATTCTAGAAACATTTTTTTGCATTAGAAATCGCCCTTTTCAGAAGTGTGGAAGGTTGCTCTCTTCTACAGTTTTAAAACCATAAATTACGGGCGTGGTGCGTTTTTAGCGCAAATGTTAATGGAGCGTCACGATTAACTGCACGAATTGCTCCTCTTGTGGTCTGTCCTACTTAGCTTAGTCATTCTACTTCTACTTATTTTCATTTCTACTTGTTTTAATTGCAGTTAAGGGTATTATAGAGAAATAAATGCTATATTTAGAGGTGAAATTTGCTTATCTCGCTTATATTGAGTGAGACTCATTGCGCTTCAAAATTATTTTGGGTTTTTACTTGTCTAAGCTTGAAACAGCTTCAAGTATATTTCTCATAAATATTTAATTTGAGTCTTACCATGTCTAAGGCAAAGTACAAAAACCGTATTTTAAACCTCCACAGTATTTTTTAAAAGGAATTATTGCATATATTGCTATTCAATACCATCTTTATGCATGTATAAAAAAGAAATATTAGCATCATTTTAGTCTGACTTTTGCACATACTACTCAATAACGTTGACATTCATTAAGATTTAGAGGCCACCTGCATACTAAGAAGATTGGATACGGAGGAAGTTTAACAGTTAAATCAAAATCAAATGAAGCAATTCTAGTAATTTCATTATCCTTGTAAATGCTGTATTGTAGGAAGTCGCTGTACTTTTCTGCAGCAAACTTTTTACCTTGAGTAACTTATAAATCGCAGATTAATAAGTTGGAGACAGGAGATTTTACAACGCATTATGGTAAATAAGAATCGGATCAAAGAATAACTCTCCCAAATGCTCGGATTATGATAGCAATTACAAAAATGCTATGAATAAAAAAATGTTAAAAATATCACCATTTGACTCCACATCTATTTAACTAAACTAATTCTAATATTTTCACATTTTAAACTCCAATAAATTAGTGTTACCTAATTCTCTTATGCGACACTTAATTTTCCATAAGATTTGGACTCTTAAAATGTACATCCCTCCCCAGTCTTCCAGTGTGTTACGCTTCGGAACTCAGCGGCATTAAGTTATTAGCATCTGCGTTCCAGGAGCTACAATGCCTCCGCTTGATTGGTCGAAGGAGTGGTCACTGTGACATATATACGAACCCACTCACTATCGGCCATCCACTTCAAACCTCTTGTATCGGTCACAATCACCTCTCTTTTAGTTGGTAAGTCAATATCTCAAAGAGTTTGCTTACTCTTTTCTAAAAAGCCAGATGTTGTAGTGCCTTAGTCATCGGTAGCACTGAAAGGCATCATTGTGCGATCCGTAATTTTAATGGGACCTAAATTTAATCCTTCATTTTATTTCAAGTCATCAAAGAGAGTTAACAATAGAATACTTAAGAAAATACTACACTTAGAATCCTAAAATCCCGTGTGTCATGCAACAAATCTATTCATAATAAATTGATAAAATTATTAGAAATGATGTTTAGTTTTATCAACATTTATGTTCAAGGTATTTGCTTTTTTTAATACAATTCTACCCGATTTCTTCCATTTGGTTACAAGATCTTTTGCACGAAATGTGTTTTTTAGCGTGGCTTCTTCAAAACTATCCCATTTTAAGAATGTATGTTTTGTGTAGGATTTAATGTACAAATACTTGGACTCTACTTCCACTAGCTACAAAGAACACTTACATAAATATAATAAATTGACTAATTAAATCGTGTTAAAATTGGTTGATTGGATTTAGGGACTAGTTGCAAGTTATTCTGACATGAAGTTAATCATATCAAAACGTCATTCAGGTGCATAAAGACAAAAATTTTGACTGGGTATCGAATAAAGGTATGCTTAACGTCCTCTCACACACCTGTAGTATATTTTAATACGTTTGAAGTCATCCAATTTTCAGAAGATTTTAAACTCTAAGACCGCGTTGGCTAAAATTCTAGTACACTAGATGCCATTTCGTGTTGTGCAAATTAATAAATTATATTCATAGTGAACTTTAAAATCCCTCTGAAAATAATGTTTTCTAACGCATATTTTACGATCAGGAAGCAAGTATGGGTGTACTCTAGCGCCATATCATCCAATGGCTTCTTTACCAGAGTCTTCAGTCTAATGCAATGTTGAATGTAAATGGCGTCTTTGGGCAGTAAAATCTGTATACCTACCAGAAGACCTTTTAGGCCATAACAGCAGTAATTCGCAGAATTTTATGGCCTAATAAACTCGGTTTACCAGGTATAGAGAAAAAATTTATTCCAACTTGCAGGAAGATATTCATCAGAAATCCTGCCGATGTGGAATGCAAGAATTGGAGAAAACTGTATGCTATAGTCTTCAGGCAAATGACATACTCGTATGACTGAAACGTTTTCATCCTGTGATAACTTTATATTGCTAATCAAGGGAAACAGCAGTTTCTGATGTTCTTTAATTGTGCATTTTAGATGGTGTCTTTTTTCGCGCAGTAAAACTGCTTGCTTTAAAAACGATTTAAAGCCATAGGACATCTTACAAGCTTTTTTAAAACTCACTTTTGGCGAGTCCTCTCGTACTTTTGAGCATTACATTTACACTGTAGACTCGCCGGCAGTTCTGCAGATTCAAACGTCGGCATTTTATCTTTTTTTACCACATTAGAGATTTAGCTACAAACACTACAGCCACTACGATAGAGCGTTTAAGTATTGTTTAGGCGCTGTGAAATCCTCTTGCATACCTGATCTATTCTACTCAAAATTTAAATGCTAAAAGCTTTAGAGGATTACTGCTTACGGAGTGTAATAACCACCTCAAAGTTCTTCTATTAATCACCTCGCCTTTGACAATTTCAGATAATCAAACTTACAAAATTATTTGGCTCCCTATTAATCTAATAATAACATCCACTTCTACTTCCATCTTCGCTAATATTTTCAACCATATGGATGTCAGACATCTCAATGTTTGCATGTGTGTGGCAATTTAAACCTCCTTGATCGTTTCCAGCTATCTTTTCTAACTTAAAGGGATTCTCTTTTAGGATTACTAAAGTTATTTTTCACAAGTTGTGATTAAATTTTACTGCTTAAGGTATATTTCTGTTCAATCATTATACCGTAAGTTTCTTGGTACTGATAAAATGAATGCTATAATCAATCGCAAAAATCCAAAATAACCTATTCCACTAAGTTTTTGACTGGAATTCATCGAATTTAACGATAATTTGGCGTTCTTGAGATACCTGCGAGATCCTACTTGGATTTTCATGAACCGCATCTACTGGATAATTAATCTTGATCACGCTTCTTAAATGTAGTTAAGATCACTAATAGTTTAGTGAATTAAGAATTTTGCTCTAAATTCGTTAAATTGTTCAATAAATCAGTAAACAGTAAATGGTTTACAAATAATATCATAATTTAGTCAAATACAGATTCTGCCATTTTTAAAATTATGCGTACTTCTTGAATTACTTATTTTAGTATGTAAGATAGGTAAATAAGGAGTAAGAGTAACAGACGAGCATTCAAAGGGTAGAAATTGCAAAGACTTTCCCTAACAGCTCATCGATAGCCACGTGGATGTGCAATTTCAGAGGTGAGTTGCAACCATTAGATCAAATTTTGATGATAGGTTACCAAGGATTTATTTAGAAATTAATATTTTCGATTCCATTTATGGGATTTTTTCTCCAGGAGAATGCCCTTTGACGAACGAATGCTCGCGATAACGGCACTAGCCATCTGCTTATTTTTCACATCAGCATCACCGATGGTGACTGAGGTAGGAAGAGATGAATGGCCCCCCGGCCCCTAACCCAATTGAGTGGACCGGTGCAAGCAACTCCTCTAAGTAAACGCATCACACTCCAGACAACAACTGTTAAGTAATAAATAGGATCAGTAGAAACTAATTGCTACTGATCTTGGCGTACAAGGAACCGAGTATTCTCTTAACCAGTTTTTGCTATTTCTCCTTTGCAAATCTTCTTGCCTTAGCCTGCACAAGGTTTCTTCTGGCCAAGCAATAAGGTGCCACTCGCAATGTTTAGAGTTGTTCTAGTGTTTCGGTAGCCTAATGCTAGGCTTTTAGGTACAGCATATACTAGTTTACGCTTGTTGCCTATAAAACTTTTAAATTCGTTCTCCCTTTCCATTGTGCAATAGCTTCCTAAACTTTTCCATGGTTAAACCGAATGAATGGTAGCGTATGTGAGTCATTTTACGACATTGATGTTGCATTAATTTCCCAAACATACTAGTTGCATTTGCCCCAAGAGATGCGAAACAGTAACGTACTTCTGTGATATTAAAGAGGGCTATTAATACTGCTATGTGAAATCCAGGGAGTCTTTTTGACATTTTAGAAATGCTTTTCATCAGACAAGGAAATGATCATATATCTGTTAAAGAAATATGGCCTTTGCTATGAAAATCTACTGGATTCAGACTGCCCTCAGCTGAACATTAATAAAAAGGCAACATTGGCCTACTTCAAACGGAGCCTCCTATCGCCTGAGCTGTCCTTAAGCGACAAGCGCGCATCGTTAGCATACTTCTAGGTGCGCATATCGTTTCACTTAAGATATTGCTGAAAATTCACCTGTGAATGTGATTAACAAAGCTTTTGTGTTGCCTAATTGTGCCTTTCTACTCTGTCTCTAAATGGGATTTTGGTGTAGCCATTAAAGAAAGTAATATGAAATATTATTTTAAAAGAGCTATAGCTGCATAAAACCCCGTACCCATAATTATTGACATTACCAATGCAAACAATCAAACGCATCCTCTAACGAAAAATAAAAACGTTAACCTACAAAGTGGAAAAGTTTTCACCGTGCCTTCGTGTTTTACGCCTACATCTCAGTCTGGCATGCGATCATAATGACTCTGTCACTTTCTGAAAGATGCACTCTTTTTGTTAAGAAACTCCTAAAGTCTTTGATTTACTTTCTTACTGATAATTGAGAGCAATTATAGTAGTCACGCATCACCTAAACTTACCTTCGTGCGCATGGAAAAGGTGAGAAGCTTGAAAAACGCCCTAAATGCATTATCGAGATCCGCTAGTCTTTAAGTAGACATTTTGACAAAGTAATCTACGAAATTTACCCTCATTAAAATTAATATTTAGTGATTTATCGAAACCATCTTATAAAAGTGAGTTAATTTCATGGAAGAAAAGAATTCACTATTTATTGTAACAGAAATGTGAGAATATAACGAAATTTGGCATTCATATTGGATCGTGACTAATTTCGACATTCGATCCTGCCACTTTAAAGAAGTTAATTACTTTGGAAATGTGGTTAAAGTGGTTAATAAAGGATTCGTCTTCATTAAAAGAGCATGAGGTTATTTGTTATTAAATAAAAATTCATTAAAAACTTAATATAGCAAGGTCTCATGAGGATGAAATGGTACTGTAGAAGAGTGGGACAATAGGTCTTTTGCGAATGACCAATAATATGTCGGTTACCTTAGCATTGGATTACAAAAGGCCTATCTCATTACAAGTCATTTAAGAAGATAACAAACATCATAAAACTGCACGTTTTTACCATGCCTATGAAGGAAGTAAAAAACAAGCTGAGAGTCTTTAAAATTTAGTATCTGCCATCGAATAAAAAATGCAAGCGAAACGCATTTCTTCAGCCAAAACAACCTTCCTTTTACAAATGATATAAATGTTGGCGGACCCATTCATCACCATTCATCTAGGGTTCACTTACACAAATCTTTATCATAGTAATCAAGTTTTCTTTACAGTGCATTCTGCAATCGCATTTTTTATGAGTGCTATGCAAAAAGCCATTATAGAGGCTTCTGTAGCCTTGGAACCGATCTAAGCTCGACACGTTAAGCGGACGAGGTCGATGATGAGGAATAAAATGAAAGTAAAAAAGAGCACAGTAGGGAGTTTGTACAAATAAACCCACGCCCAACTGTCTGTGCTTTATTGCTCACTTATGCTAACAATCGTTACAACTAAAATAGGGAGGAACTTTTACCAACTAATATTTATTTTGTCATTAGATGTATAATGCTAGAATCCTTTTATTTCACTCAATAAATTTGCATAAGTATCACATGAGCCCTCTTCAAATAGGGAGTTATGGTTTATGTATGTTTGGTCCAAAAATGGTGAACGCCTCCATTTGAAACCTGATTAATTCGGGTAGATAGGGATGGTGAATCTTTATAATGTCATTAATCTTGTTATTAATGCCTAGCGGCCATTTACCCACCTTTCAACACATCTCTAAGTAATATAGATTTATGAGATATTCTTCATGAGTGGGCATAAACATTATCACCGGCAGCTAAAGTGCTATTCCACGAAATTTGTCAGAGCGATATCAACAGCATTTAGTTGCTTTAAAAGGCCGAATTTCGCTTTCTAGTCAGTTTTGCACACAGCAAATAATGATGAAAATTTATCATCTGCTTATGTTAAACCTCAACCCTTTTATTTATTAATAAGTTTTTGGACTGTTGTTTAACCGATTCAAAGAAATATTCTTGAATCATTTTGACTACTAAGGTTGTATTGTTGGATTAAGAAAATCGTCGTTTTTATGCTACTTAGGTGGCTTAGATGACCATTGTTTATGCTTTTACAAATAAAAGTTGTATAGATTGGGACTGATGGCACTACCTAAATATGAATTATTTGCCCTCACCACTCTAAAAAACGTAGTTTTTTTCCACATGGGGACTTCGCTGTACATACTGTTATGATTTTTTAATTGCATACCTTCATTTTTTAAGCGAGATAGCATGTGCGTACGATTTACGCAAAAAATCAAAAAGCACTGGATAAATTCACAAGTTTTTATCTAAATTCGAGCACTTGGAGAGGAGGTACTGTTATCAGTTGCAATTACAAGTTGAAGGCTTTTGGAGAACTTGATAGCTTTTTTCTTTTAAAACAGTTGAAAAGATCCGGAAATATGATTTCTGTATTTTAGTAAAACAATAGTTTTGTAGAAGTTGTTGGTTACTATGGAATCCAGATTAAGTTTTTTCCACTAAATTGCATTGCTTTTGCCTGACAAAGATTCAGATGCATCACTTTTTTCCGTTGCCTCAATAGGTATTTTAATTTAATTTGTGACTAAATATGAGCTGTGTATGTCGAAGCTGTTTAATGTCTATCACCAACGAAAGGCTAAATCCAGCTTTTCTGTTCGCTCATTAAGACTTAAATTTCCGAAATCATCTTAAGGGACAGCGATTAGGCTGTCATATAAATAATTCCACAAGACAAATATATATGTTTAAGTGACCTAAAAATGCAGACCCACAATTACATGAGATTTTGTTATAAATCTAGGCTGTTCAGGAGAAGGCTGGCTAAGTTAGCTCGTGTTCGTTGTAAATGCATTTTCTCTTGACTTCGCCATATATAATCTACGGATTGCAAATATGTAATGTAAGAATACTAGTCTATGGGATGCAAATTACCATTATTTCATCAATGAACTAGATTTTGGATCTTGAAGGCCTTCTGAAGTTTATTTAGCTGCTGAAATATGCTTACCTTGTATATAATCGGCAAATTTTACCAAATGTTTTGTTTGAATATTACTGGTGATTTGACTGTGAGACTTCAAAGACCTTTGCAAAAATTTTGTTGACAACCAGTTTGAGGTTAGTGCTCAACTAAAACTTAGGTATGACGGAATCAGGTCAAGAGCCCAGACGAGTTATTAAACGAAGTATGCAGCTCATTTTTAATACAGATGCATGGTTAATATGTTTGTCGCTTTTTTGCTTTCTGCTGAAATCGTGAAGTCTTCATTTTTTCTCTTTAGCAAGAAACAAGCCAAGCACGAGAAAGTTTAAAAACTTATTCAAAATAAGTTTGTTTTTTAGTCCCAGATACGCAAACAGTCCTCAAATTTTTAAATGAATCTATGGTTAGAGAATTGTTTTTGCTTCAAAGTACATTAAAACAGCTTTAGTATTTCATAACTCTTATGTTTTTTAAAATTAAATATAAATTAATGGCACTAAGCTTCTAGAATTAGATTATTCTTAGTTACAGTGGGCATTGAAAAGTCAATTTGTTTTTCTACTATTCCTGGGATTGTATGTGTTCCCTTTTAGCATTTTGAAGAGCTGCCAAAACATCATTATGTAGAAAGATTTTTCTCCCACCTCCAAGCCAGTAACCTCAAAACTGCGCCGTTTAATAGCAAATAAGAATCTCCTACCCTTGTGGGCACTTGTACATTTCACCAAATAAGCGCGCGTACATGCACACCCCAAATGGCCCTAGCAGATTGGCTGGGTGCTAGATTATAGGTTTAACGTGCTAATTCATCGCCAACAAAGCGCAAGGCATAATGCCTCGATGGCTTCACCTGTGCCTACTTCTACTCACTCTCACTACAGCTCTCGTTTCCCTTATATTCTTACTAATCGTCTTTGAACGTATAAAGAATCTCAATGAAAATGCCTCTGATTCTGCAGTTATTATCTCTACGGATGAAGACTGGTTAAAGTGGACGCGAGAAATCAACATTTCCTTTGAAAGTGAGGCTGAAGCCAATTATCGACACTCTGTGTGGCGAAAGAACTACAATATGATTCTGGCACATAATGCACGAAAAGACAGCCTTTACACTATGGGAACGAATCACTTTACTCATCTGGAGCACTGGGAGTTTGTGGAAATGTACCTCAGGAGCAAGAAAATTGAACTTGACAACTATGACTTAGACAGCTACTTTGAAGGCAATAAGACGATAAGGGTGAATGAGAGTATTATTGAGGGCGACTGCTACTTGGGGAACTTTGACTGGAGAGAGCGCTTTCCTGATCGTAAAGTTCGCGACCAGGTATAATTATTAATTGGAGATTTCCAAACGACAAGCGCGCAATATTTTATACCATTTGTCATTATTTCGTCATTTCCTATTCACTTTTACTATTGCCATTTTGCGCTATTTACAGTGATTTTTAACAAAAGCACGACTGTTAAAATAACAAGTAGGATAAGGAATGATTGTTGAGCCTCTTCAGCTGACGTATTTACTGAAACATCTTAACAAACTTTCCTTGTGTATTACTTTAACTCATGTAAATGCATTAATTTTATCCATTTGCATTATGAGTCACGTTGGTTTTTCAAAACAATTATTTTTATGCATTTGATAATTGCCTTCTAAGGTGTTTTTTTTGTTACTCTGTTGGATTGATCATTCCTGATTACATACCTACGGTAATACGCAGAGCGATAAAAGGGTTTGGTATATTCTAAAAACACAAATTCATAAATTGTAGGAAGAGGAGCTTTTTAACTCACGTGTGCATTTATTTGGTATTTCCAGAAATTCAGACGCCGTATTTGAAATCATCGTAGGTTTATCCAGTAGTGTATGTTGCAGAAATTAAAAAACCATCCTTTTTGGATTTCCGGGGAATCCACTGTCATCTTTATTCCAAATTTCGCATCATGAACTGTTATTACTTCTTTTATTTTGCAGCAATGAAGAGTATATTACGATATTAAGCCTAATTTGCAACAGAAAATCCTGCTAACCCACGCACTTTATATAGCATGGCTGCCTCATTTTACGGTTTTAAATTTCCACTAAGAAAGTGCTTGTAAAATGGCTAAAACGAGCCTATTTCTCTACATTTTTCATGCACTGCTCTCAATAAGGAAATGAACATTCATTGCGAATGTGAGCTAGCGTCGCCAATATATGTATTCTATTAGGCAATCGAAAAGTTTGGCCTTCAGCACAGTTCACTACAAGTCAAACTTAACTCGGTCTAAAGGCTGCAAAATCTTCTGGAATGTCTTACTGCAGGATGCACCGTTCAAAAGTAATGATATTTTAAAGAAGTATTGAATAAGAATTTTCGTCTAGGATAATTTTCTGAATCGTAATTCTAATATTTGCAAACAGTCTTAAAACTAATCCACATGTATCATCAGGTTATACTTTGGCAGCTCACTTTTGTAGCAATTTACTTTTAAATGATGCTTTTGAGTCCTCAAATGTTTTTATATTTTCAGCACAGTTTTATTGACAGACGAATAATTTTATCAGCATTCTTAATGACCCACATTTAAGTGTACTGCAACGAAAAATGAAACAAAATTAAAATTTACCCAGTGATAATAAGCAAACTCGTTTAAGATGGGTGAAAATAACTGTCAGCAGGCAGCTTAATCAAGCAGCGTTTTGTATGAATTTCTATATGTATACTTTAATGGAATAGAACACTGTGGTAGAATGTTATGGAACCTAAGTTGTTATATTTTTACACTAATTGAAGATAACTCTTGCCTTAGATGTCCTGCGGGTCATGTTGGGCCTTCGCTTCGGTATCAGCAGTTGAGTGGCACTGGGCTATCCACCACGGTAGGAGCCTCCCTCTCTCAGTACAGCAACTGGTTGACTGCGTCCAATCCAACTTCGGCTGCAACGGCGGGATCATTGAAAACGCCCTTGCATACATCCAAAGTCATGGCATCATGCTGAACCGCGACTACCCCTACCGCTCCAGAGTAAGCAATTGCCTTCTATGTAAATTTTTGGTTTGTTGAATTTTGATTTTAGGTATTTTATTATTTAAAGTCTCGTAGGAGTTTTTGCCTCCCATTAAAAAAACTTTCAGTGAAACTATTCTTACTACAAAAATGCAACTATTTACATGTGTAAAATTTTACCAAGAACAAAGGCTTATCCAAGCAATTGAAACAGAAAACTCCACTGTACATTATGAGTTGGGTTTCATATGCTCCAGTTTACGAATTAGAAAAGCGCAAACGTAGCTTTAAAAAGGCGTCTTTTTGGGCAAAACTGTGATAGCATCAATTTATTTCCTTTAACACCGCTGCTTTGGATGTGCACAAAAAGTTTTCATTCTTTGGAATTTCGGTCTTTCCAATGAAAAGCCTCATGTTAAAACACTTCCGACTCAAGTTTAGTTTCTGAGGTGCGCATAATTTAATTCAAGTTTAGTAACATATCATGAGAATTTTTCTACCTCAGTAAAGTCACTATTTCGTATAGATTAGGATTTTTGCACTTTTATTCAATGATATATAAAAATCCTGAAAACCGACCTATAAACTCGTGATGCAAAGTGCCAGAACCTCTGGGGATGTTGTATCATTGATGGCAAACCAGTCGTGCATATTTTACCGAGCATTTAAGCCTAGAATGACTTTTAGGGTTTGAAACGTTACTGGTTTCATCTAAATTAAAAGGTTTTTCTGCAAACAAATGATGATAAAAAGAATTTTTTTTGATAGCTCTTTGTCCTTTTTATGACAGATGGATACTTTGCTGTCTGGTTCTTAAGAATTCTTTATTAGTGTCTTAAAAAAATCAAATTTGATACTGCTTTGCGGATGTGTTATGTCTTGATTTTGCACTGGTCCAAAACAACCATCCAAACGTTCCTCACAAAAAGTGACTACTTGTTGAACAGACTGGTTTCCCTTCTGAAGGCTATTGTGCGGAAACACAAGAACCATTATCTATCCTTAAATATGTGACAATCTAATAGGTGCATATTAAACGGTGCTAGGGAAATTCTAGTCTATTAAAATTAAAAATACTTCGTTTGGTAAAGACAGTTAAATGCTAGCTCGTATTATCTGATTTATTTTTGAACGCAAAAGTGGGCGCAAATTTTTCACAGAAATTTTCCCACAAGCGCGCTTAACTATTTGCAACCACTTGTCAGAATTTTAATCCCAATAGTGATTGATTGGGCTATTTCCCATCTCTTGATCATCATGAGTGCCACAAATTCTCCGTGGTTTAACGCTTGGACCATAAAACGAAGTCATTTAAAATATATTACATTATTAGGGGTTTTAATGCTTCTTTGCTTTATCAAGCTCAGTATTCCACAATAAGTTAGAGTTAAGGACTTTAGTAACATAACATTAGGAATTCAAAGTAAAGCAATCTTGCATCCTGCAAAATTATGTTTAAACTGTTGCAGTTAGAATCGGTACCATTTTCCGCATTTATCTACTTAATCTTCACGTAAATATTCCTTAATTATATTTGTGAGCTTGCTTTGCCGTAATTTTGTAAATATTTATCATTTTCTTTTGCAAAGATTAGAGGGGAAGTGCAGCGTGATGGATGACTGAAGAAGGAGCAGGTATTTTACATGTACTGAAAAAATCCACATACACTTTGAAACACCTTTCCCTTAACAAACACTTTTTTAAACACTATGTTATTCAATGACTATACCTAGTGAGATTAAAAAAGAAGTTCTTTACTCACTACATTCTTTTTTAAATGTGGCATTATGGAAGTATATCATTGATTGTTAAACATTCTCTGAAATTCTTCAATGTTTCACCTGATTTTATCTAAACTGACAAATTTCTAACTGTCAAGTCTTTTGAGTGCTTTAACAGAGCTGAGATTAATCACCTCTGTAAACTTTAGTCTATGAAATAAATTGCAAGTAGCATAAGACATTCACTCTGGATCCTAAATATTGGACTAAAGATTGTGACAACTGGCAAATAGGAAGATGTTTTTTGCGCTTTTGAAGAAAGTATTTTTGTTTAGATATTTAGAGTACTGCATTATATATTTTTTTAAAAGTTTTGCATGGTATGACCACTACTCATCACCTTTTTATGAATACCCTCTTTTCAGACAGTGCTTACACAACGCAGGAATCCTCATTATTTCAATTTAGAAAAGCAATTTTTACCTCTTACCTTCCCTTTATAGTGTAAAATTACTTTCTCCACCTCCCAACCGGGAATTTGCACCCTTAATTATGTTCTCCTAGGTGACGCAGTGCACTGAGAGCCCAGATAAAGTCGCACTGAAAATCAAGGGCTATGAAACTCTGTACGGCGTAAGTGAGGCCGTCTTGGCCTGCATCGTTCAACGCCTTGGACCAGTGGTAATTGGCTTCGACGCCAGTGGCTCGGGGCTGCAACATTACAAGTGCGTTTCTAGATATTAGACTGTCTCACATCTTTGTTGCCTTGTTTGGACGGTATTTTTGCATCCCTTATAACCCGCACCGATTGTCGCCTGCGTGCAGAAAATTATTACTAATTTGTACTTCTCTGAGTCAGCTGAATTAATCGCCATCCCATCTGTTTTCATCTAACAATTTAATGTATCAGAATAGCTTCCTTACATGACCCCGGTCATGAAGGTAAATAAATCTTTTTTCTATGTCAATAACTATAATTATTTAAAACAATTATTTAGAGACAGAAATGAGAGAAAGGGTGGTTTATGAATACCATAAATCAAAATCGGTGCAGTTGGTAGGCTTTTATCCACCAGGTTGACCGGAATTTATCTAGGCAGTTAATTAGGTAAATTCTCACTATAACTGCTGGAGGTTGTTTTATCTAAATAGCATTTGGTGAAGACTATTTTGTTTCACTTATTTTCAAATGCAACCTGGCAAAGTGCAAATATTTGTGACCTTTTTGTAAATCAGGCATTTGTGAATAGGGGCGGTGCAGGTGCAGTATTTACCATTAGTTTGCAAACTTATCTCATTAAGAAAAAAAACTTTAACAAAATGAATTTTTGACAATTTCATCATTTTCAAAGGGATCTTAGGTCATGACAAATCCATACTAGCTTTTTCTTCGAATTAAAATTTGATTTATTATCCTTCTTATTCTCATGGTTTGCTTTTTTACGGGCGATTGCAGAACCATGATTTGCTTAATGGGAAGTGTTTTAAGAGGTTACATATTTAGTTGCCGATACTTTTAAGTAAAATTCTACTATAGACATTCGAATACTGCAGAAATTTGTCAATAATACACAGAAACTCTTGTTAATATAGCATAGGATACCGGATTTATTAGTGGTTCTCCCTTTCGAAATTGACATGTGCCAATTTCTACAAATTAGATCTGGAATCTACGATGGCACGGACTGCAATGTGGAAATGCTTAATCATGGACTGGTTTTACTAGGTTTTGGAACCGACGCAAGAGGTAATAGGTATTGGATCTGTCAGAATTCCTTCTCACAACGCTGGGGCGATAAAGGCTTTTTCCGCTTCAAATTCGGCAACAATCTTTGCGGCGTGGCTGCTACTCCCATTATTCCTGTGGTTTAGAATTCCTTGGACAAAAAACAAAAAGAGTTTTCTCACTAACTTTCACTTCTTCTCTCTTACACATATACCCACATTTCGGATGCATGGTCCGTTCCCTGTTCATTTAAGTCACTTGAGAGCACTTTTCCTTTAAATTGTGTATTTCCAACGAACGAGGTTTTTTAGTTAGCAGATTTTTTCATAACTGTTTAAGGATTGATTGAGTCATGGAACGCAATTTCAAAATAGTTTATGTAACTGCAACATCAGCAACTTGAAAAGAAAGTACTTTTGTCAATATGTATTTCTGATTCGGCTGTTTCCCTGTCAAAAGAGCACACCAATGACCTTTTAATGAACTGGTATGTTACATTTATGCAGGTTTAAGTTATTGCATTTGTAAACTTGATCCCTACATACGGTAACTTCTGCGATTTTGCAAACACTAGTACTCAAAATGTCTTCAGTAAAGTCGTCACAGATTTAATTTAAATGTTCAGTAAATTCAACCACACGAAAATGCCCGTAATTTCTACAGAGTTATTTTTAATGATTGGTTCCTGTGTATTTACTGATAAAAGCAACTTACCGTCGGAACCAAAATTATTGTCTCATTGGGATAAAGGCAATTTAGGTTTAAGATCATATCGTATAGTTCAGAACCTTGTATTTTTCAGTTATTGGATTCATATTGGGTGAAATCAAAGGGATATCCAAAACTTGTTACTTTATTACTATTTATCAATTACAAAACATATTTTCCTAGGCATACCAAAGACTGGGTCGGACCGAACTCTTTGGTCAACTTTTATTCATTTATAGAATCTGTGAGTAATTTCTTATTATCTTATCCTCCAAAATGGAGTCGCTGATTGAATGTGGTTACCTAAGGGTTGCACTTCTACCCACATTTTCGGTAAATTTATTCTATTGGGTGCTCTCAAGGCACGCACCTCGTCGGAGCACGAGCATGTGATCTAGAAGTGTATTGACTGGTGTGCTGCATGTGGTGTGGTCTCCGAGTCCTGCGTGCGAGATTGGGTAGTTGAGTTTATGCCATTCCACAGAGATGCGTGTTTGGTTGACTCTCTTGATCCTACCCTGCGTCTTGACGCAAGAGGCTAAACGTACGTTCCTAATTAGCCAGAAATTTCAGCTAGTAGATATTAACTGTGTGCTAATGTAGAGCATCCCAATTAGTACCAAAACGACGAGCTGGTGTTGTGAAAATTTGGTCTTCTAAAATCTTAAAGGATTGCAGTTTTACTTATGTTACCATAGTACATGTTGTTAAAAATAAAGCATTTATAAGACTATTTTCATATTTCAGTAAACTGATTAGAACTGCAGTGCTTTCTCCAAAAGATAGCATTGTATAAGAGCTTTATACTCAAAAATTTAAAACAGTAATAACATGAAATTAACTCACCCAAACTCCCCATTATTAGGACTGGTAAAATAATGACCATTTTCTGGTTATGGTTTTGAGTCCTTGTTTCAGCATCGCTTTTGGAGTCGTCAGTGAATGAAGCAAAAGTGGTTTGGGGTGGCATAGGTGGACTTTTTCGCAATCGACTCGACGAGTCTTCGCCCAATACTTGCGTCAATAAGGGGAATGAGAAAAGCTTGAGTACGTTTTACATTAAAATTCTTGAGCTTAAAAATATTTATTGTTCATTTGTTCTTAGCGTGAATTGATTGGTTGCGTTTATATCATCTTTAAAAATGGGATTTTACTAAATTATGAGGTATATTTTCAATTTCTGGATAACAAATGAATCTGATCCCATTGCTTAAACCAAAGTTATTTGCAGTTAGGCCAATATTATATGGTCCCCATCTAACCCGTTAATGCAAGTCATTAGCTGTCCACCAAAGGAATGTTAGGCCTTATTAAAATTACTAGCATCGCAGTAAAGTCTCCAATTTTGCTTTTTGGACTGCAGAATTGTTGACTTCCCTTTACAATACTGGAGTGGATATTATAAAGAAGGGATGCAATAATACGGGTACGTTTAAAGCCCTTCGTCATTATTTAACAAACTATCAGATTGCATTCATAAGTATGGTTGAGCAGTTGCCACAGCCATCGGTTTCCCTGATTTATAGATTCATCTTGTCAAACTTATGTTTTTGGTATTTCGTCAATGTATGCTTCAATCATTTGCTCTTAAAAGGTGGACTTGCATATTTTTTCTAAATTTAAGTTTTTATTTATTCAGAAACAACTGCTTTTTACGTATAGTTAGTAGTGATTAGTAATAAGTTTGGGCGTTTGAAAAAAGACCACTTTTGTGGTTTCTGAGAGTGAGTCAGCACTTTGAAATATGTGCCAAGGTATGATTTGATGGTTTATAAAAGACCACTGGTGTGAATTTCTTTTGTAGTTTAAGCAGGCAAATCAATGCAATCCTTTTGCCCGTTTACGTCATTCTTATTGTGGTCTCACCACCCTTTATTATCCAGCATCTCATTATCAATTACTGGCCTTAGTTATATTTTAATCAAATGAATTTCCCATTAAAATTGTGGTATTAATTTAACGTACTTGTATGCAAATCTACTTCATAAAACTATGCTAGCATGTCACTTGTTCTTATAGTCCGTAGGGTTTAAGTAGCAAGAAGATGTTTCCTTTGAATCAAAAATAAAAATGACATTAATTTAGGTACATAAACTTTTCCGTTCGTTAAATTAGAATTCACAGTCTGCGAAACTAGCCATTAAATGATATCGGGGCTTTTAAGGTGTCTATCATTGCAATGTCTTTGTTCATACCATCCGCAGATGGCAGGCTTGATGAAAACCTAAAAGCAATCCTTAAGGCTATGCAAGAGGTTAAGGACACATTCGAACAGAAATCCATTGTTTCCGATGTGGACAGATGTGCACTGCAAAACAGTAAGTCTCTTTGTACCTTCTTACCGAATTTTACGCTTCAAACTCAATTACAATGCTCCAAGTTATCACCCAAAGACGTGCTAATGCGTACTAGTCTGTAAATTGGCCTATTGTCAATAATACGGCTAAGCCGGGAGACTGTAAGCATCGACGTAGTGATCTGAGGGCGGGCAGGTGATTAAACCACGGGAACCGAAAACCCACGTGGCTAGGTATGAATATCGGTGTATGTCCTGTAAATCATAACGAAGAGCAGTAGAGTTATAGCCAACTTACTCAATCCAATTATTAGGAAATAATTCTGTTAGTCATAAGTTCCTAAATTCGTAACAGTTTATCATTTTATTTATTGAAAATACCCCTCGCACTTAAGCAACAAATTATTAATTCGTTCCATCAAGACCTGTTGCATATGGTTCCGCCTTTTATACATGGATTAAAACTCCAAATAATGTTTGAAAACTATTTTCTCCAAATACTTGGTTAATTGGTCATCAAATGCCAGGTTTATGGGATTTTGTTTTCGTACGTTTTTTATTTTTCAGGCTTTTTAGCAAAGAATTCCCTTAAAATTTTATCGAAAGCTCTGGTAAACATGTTTCCAGGTATTCTACTTTGCTAATTCACACTTAGTTTAAACTTTCTTGTTAAATGTATTCAAAAACACCTTGACAACTTGCAAATATTGTATTTTACATACTTTTAAAGCTTATTAAAAGTCTTAGTTATATTAATGGGAATGACATCATTAAAAACCCACGTTTTGTTTGAAAATAGCAAAAAAAGCCTGGAATCACTTATGTCCATCTCCTCGGATTGTGTGTCATTGGTTACACTTTTGCTCTTCATACGTTCCCCATTGTAACTCATTATAACTGTAGTTTACTGTGCAGGCGTGAGCTAGATATCCCTAGAATAGTCTGTGGGTTTACCTCGAATATATTGCTGCATGCGTTCATGCCAGCACCTGTTGTTATTCAATTTTAAGTCAACTTACCTCTCACTACTTGAAAAATCCAATTGAAGTGAAAAGTGGGTTTATTTTATAATGCCATATTTTTTGTACTGTTTACAGGGTCGTGCAATATAACTGACTATGAAAAGACTGTCCTCGACATTAAGAAATGGGTAGAGCCTATGTTATCAAACATTACTTACAAGGAATCGTTTCAAGCTGAAGTTAAAAACACTATTAATGCCAATTACAGTAAGCTTTGTTATTTTTCAGTCGATTATACCATATCACATAAACGGATATCCTTTGGCCTAGTGTAAACTCATCATCTTAAATTGCCTTTTTGGTTTTATGAACCAAGCATTTCCAGCTAAGCGTATCATTAACATTCCAAACCGGATTTCACCAAATTTCCTTTAATTTGTCGTATTATTTAACAGATTTGTAATGATGTGATATATTGTTAAAAATCTGGATAAATAAGCACCAGAATTGTATCCATAACCCTAATTGTATTGTTACTTGTTACAAAAACTACTCTTCCAGTCCCTTTAACACTGCAATTTTGCACTTAGCTACGACCAAACCCACCGACATTATGCAGAAAGTACGCTCTATACATTTTATTTGATTTGTTTGAACAATGTGCTTGATTAATAGTAGATTTTTCATCTGCTCCCCCGGGCACAATATATTTGAGCGACTTCCTAGTGGATATTGCGGCTATTAGCAACCTTACTGAAGCGGAATTTTACAGCACCACTATGGAGGCTATTACAGCCTATGCTCCCCCAGTTCGCAACAGTGTGTCAATCAAATTTCTGCAAAATGTTGATTCAACGATCGCGACAATTTGTTCGAGTATGCTTCAGCAAAAGCAAACCGGAATCACTTTTATCTACGATGACAGTAATAGTAAGTCGGCTATTTAATGTTTTTGGTAACGGGTTTCCTTCGGTCTTTAGGCTACCTAGTTGAGTAAATCCTCCGAATGCGAACAAATGAGTGTGACTTAATCAATGTCAATTTTTGAGTTCCATTCACATTCAAACGATTTATTATTAATTGAGGTGATCGGTTCTTGAAACATCTGCTAGGTTTTTACACCTGAGAGATAGTGGAGTATGATTATGAAGGTGGAATTTAAGTTTTTAGGCGCCAGCAGGTGAATAATTCCACAGAAGAACTAGCTTAAGACGTTGGATACATAAAGGATATGCTTCTGAATGTTGCTACTCATATTCCATGAACACAAAGCAATTTTCTTCATAGACTTTCATTTACTCTCCAAAAAGGCAGATCTCTATTTTTAATTTTACGAAATTTGGGACTGTTAGTTCTGCAAACCTTTACGTAAGGCACTTACATCTAGCACTAAATGCTCAAAAAACCGGAAATAATTGCTTTCTTTTAATTATATTTACAGTTTTACAATTATTGTCCTTCATAAACGTCAAATATTAGTGATTTGGAGAAAAGAGCATGGAAGACTTGATTTATCTAACCGGTTCTTGTTTGCTTCTCTTTTAATTCATTCATCAAGTTTTATTTGCTTTACTAAAGTTGTTTTTTGTTTTTATTGCAATCTCGTTTTCAATTCAATACTTTAAAAACCTTAATCTTGTCGATCGCTTTATGAAAGCCCATTTGTGTGTGTTGAAGCAGTGTGAAGGTGCTGCATCGGAATTAAAAATTAACAGAATTTAGTTTATAAACTGTTCCTAAAACCGATGTCAAACTCAATCATTGGTTCTATGCGATTCCCAAAGTGACTCCATCAACAGATTTTAATTGTAGAGGATTGCTTGATGATGCCCTCTTTTAAGACTTTCTCAACACATAGCCCGGGGAGATTAATATCGAGTTAATCATCCTTAATTCCGAATTTTCAAAATAATTCCGAGCTTTTCATTGCTATGTTTTTGTTGCTTTAATTGTTGACATAAACGTATCTGTCTGAGTGATTCCAAGTGAATAGGATGTAATCGCACGAAGTGTTCCCACCCCTGTAGATGCGCATTTACATTGAGGTGACGCAGTGCAATCTTCCTGTATATTTGATGTTTTGCAATACACATACCTGGCTGTAACTACACGGACAGCGTTCCAGTGCCCATATGAGCGTAATGCCTATGCAACGAGTGGAAAATAAATTTATAGTAGGCTGATTTGATACCTATTTCCCGGTCATTATTCAAAACGGATGTTTTACGGTGTCAGTTTTCAAATCGCAATCTGGGATTATTTTATTTAAAAATTGAATGTTGGTTGTCTTTTTGTTGGTTTCGTCACTTACGCTTGTCAGATATTATTAATTCCACAACACTTTATCTGAGACCTCCCCAAAAGTTGTAAATCTTACCCTCTCCCTCAATTTGGTATACTGGCATCGTCGATGCTATGATATTTTTAGTTCCCTTGATGTGGTCTGGATAGACAGATTGGAAGTTGAAATTTTCTATTTTTATTAAAACTTAGTGACTTGGAGTTTATTGCTATTTTGATCATGGTCAGATTCTTGATTGGCGTCGTTATTTTGTAATAGCTGCTTTTCTGAATAAAGTCTTGCGAAATTTTTTCCCATCTGATAATGTAGATTACATAAAAATCCACTTTTTCCTTAGAAATGTCCTTTACTATATTATAGAACTGGTCTTCCTCATTCGACTATTAAAGAATGTCTACTTCAGCATGATACACCTGCCTGGAGGATGGATGACCAATAACACTATAAAAGAGCTTTTAATCCAGCAATTTCAAAACACCGGCGATTCACAAACATATATCCTTCTCTTCCAAAATGAACACAGTAATTCATACGTAAATGGATTCCTTGAACTGGTAAGCAGCTAGATTTCTACGAGCTCAAGATATGCATTTTTTTTTTTGAAATTTGTCATTGTAGAAAGTCGACTACCCATGTCTGTATATTAGCGTCTTCCGGTTATTCTTATTAAAGGATTCTGATGGATTAAAAGTTTCGCTTCCATTATGTTTTGATAAATTTATAAAGAATTCATTTTGTGATTCATTCTGGTTGCTTAAATCCATTTACTTTGTGAACCGTTGTGGATTGGCAATGCACACTTTTTCAAGTACCTGTTTTGATCCGTGTAGTCTATTCATGTTTGGTTGAGTAAAGGCAACTTACAGTTGTCAAGTCATTTTTCAGCAATGTAGAATAGCTAGTTCTTCAATTCAGTTGTTGTGTTGATCTTGTATTTATAGGCAATGCTGCATCAGCAACTACGAGAAGGCATACAAATTATCTTATTTTCTACAGTAAGTTCTAATCCCCAACAAAATCATCCTTCTTTGTTTTAGAATTTGTATATCAATTTAATACTGCCTATTTGCTCCGAAAATACCAACACCTCTTCATTTGGTTGCATCCTACCAATTTTACCGCTGTGATCATTTAAAAGGAATTCAAAGAAATCTATTTTAAAAAGCATCTTATTTAATTTAAATTTCACTTTGTGCAGGAGGATAGCTGTTCTGTCTACGAGCGCTATCTAAGAACCGGAGCTTCCCTTTTAACTTTTGGCTTGAGCACAACGTATGCACCGAAAATACCCTCTCCTTTCTTTGACCTGGCTTGGCGAGCTTCAGCAACCTATCTTGATGGTCTAACGTACATTACGGAGAATGCAACCCAAGTGGTAAGTAAAATGAACTATTGCCTTACAAATAATTTTAAACAATTTGCGCATTGGTTGGTGCAACATAACAAGAGTATAAAATTCTCATTTGTGATGCCGTGACCATAGTCCGATTCTTTGTATCTTCTTCAAAAGCCTAGATTTTACATCCTTTCGCGGATCAATTTCAGTCAAACTCACCCAACTGCAAGTCCTGTTGAGTCGGTAGCAATTCTTGACTGTTCTATAAATACAAATACAGGGGTGAGCAAGGCTTTAAATTTTAAATGCTCACATCTAAAAGTTCTTTGTTCTACTTTGTGACTTGTTTTAGATAGGTAGCTGGGTATTGAATCGAGAGCCACAACTGATAGTGGATAGCATAAATTCAACCTTAACTGGACGCACTATCAAAGTCGGGGTCGTTAAGGTAAGTTTTGTTCGTTTTTTTAAAATTTTTTTTCACTTGTAACAGCTTACTTTCCTTAATTAACCTTAAGTCTCACCACATGTCTTTGAGCTACCTACCTCTAAGGATTTTTTATAGCTTATACTAGTCATGTCACGAACTCGATCAATTCCACATTTCACTTAAGTATTTGCATTCCATCATTCATCACTGGCTTTCGTATAATATTTTCACGTGTGTTAGTTGCTACTAAAAATAGTGCATCGTTTTTTTAAAAGCCAATTGTTACTATCGGACTCAAATTACCTACTCATTAATTTGAAACTAACGCGCTGAAAATGCTTTGTCGTTCAGCCTGTTATAAAAATGGAATAGCGAGGATCATCTAAGTCTGCTGCATGACTAAATTTCGGCCGTCCTTTTTTCACTCTTCGGCACCCCATGCCAAATCACTTCTCCATATTTCTTTCAAATTCAGTAGCATTTTCTCCCCTCATTAGGAATTTCGGTTTTACCTTTTTGTATTTTTCGCTTTCCTTTCTATAACAATTCCATTTATCCTAATCTTTCTGCCTCTATTACCTCTATCACTGTCGACATTTTGAGTGAGATAGTTTTTGTAGCCAAGGTTGTGCCCAAAGCGACTTATTAGAAATTGCTTTTTAATTTTTTCTCTAATATATGCTCATTATAATAATTGCTTTTGTAATGCTCCTTCAAGTTTCGAACACTCGTTTTACATTGCGACAGCAGGATACTTGTAATCAAATATGTTTTTACGTGAAGATTTTGATTTCAAATATTATTTCAATTCTACAGGATCGTTAGAGTTACGTTTTTTCTAAACTTCTTAATACTTGTATCTAAAGTGCGTTTCAAATCGAGTTCATTTTCTGAGCACCAATACATACGTATGATAGCAAAACAATTCAATTATTTGTTTATTTACTTTAGTATGCTCCGTTCTATGATAAAGGCATCGGGTTTTCAGTTCCGGTAATGGATGCTCTCGCATTCTTGGCAAAAGTCAATTATGAAGTGGTCCTCTTCACGCCGAAACCAGATGAGCCTTACTACGTGGAAATGCTCAAAGCAATTGAAAACCATGTAATTTGTGTTTTTTGTTTATCCAACGCTCTCACTTTCGAACTCCATTGTGTTCGCTGGCTCAACCTTCCGTCCTTCTCCAGACGCTTGAATATGTCAAAATCAAATAAATGTACAGATTTGAGGAGAATTTTATAAAAACTCAAATAAAGATTCGGTTTTAATGTGAATTTAAAGAAGTTAAAGTTGTTTTTAAACTACGTGATCTAAAAGCTGTCTAAAAATTTAAGAGCCATCACAGTCATAAAGGGCACTAAATGGATTAAACTTTAATCGTGAAGGTTTATTGAAAACTAATTACACTCATTTGTAGGTAATCAACGTAGGCTTTGCTCCGGTTCCACTATCCGCAGTGAATACGGAGAAGATTTCGAGCTCATCAGCAACCTTGACTATCTCTTTCACACTGGTACGTCAACGTCCTTCCCGACCTGCGGACTTCCTTCTTTTGCTGCGACCACTCTCTTTGCCTGTGTGGCTAGCCGGCGTGGTCTTGGCTTTCATTTTCACCGGACTTTTGATGGTTTTTGGCCACCTCAAACCCGTTATTATGCGAAATCTGGCGGAGGGTGAGATGACCTCAAAACGGGATCTCTTTGAAATGTCTGCACTCGGTGTGGCATCAACCTTCTCGCTTACCAAACTGCAAGTCATTCCTACCACTCTCTCTAGCCGCATCTTTGCTCTCATTATGTGGATGTTCTCCTACCTCCTGCTTGTATTCTACGCCAGCGCTATGATGACTATTCTGCTTAGGATAAGAAAGCCTTCTAATGCAGATACTACCGTTGACGAGGTGCTGAAAGGCAATTACTATCGAACGTGGGTTCATCTGTTTTTCACCGTTGATTAATTTCTGCAAAATTACATTTGAATTGTCACTCTAGGTATGCACGGGAAATGCTTCTATAAGTGGTTACTGTAAAGCTGGGCTTAGTATGCCAAGGTGACAGTCATATACAGTTACTGTTCTATCACCCAACAGTTTCTAAATCTACGTTCATTGAGTCATTTCGGTTGTTGCAATTTTAAAGATTCATTGTAATCAAAAACGGAATCGGTCACAGCGAAATCGTCACATCTCTGAATAACAATTCAAAATCCTACTCCGCAGTCGACTCAATTCAAGCAGCTTACGATGCCCTAATGAAGGATGACAAAACCGTTCTTCTGGCATCCTCAGTCGAGGCGTCCTACATCAGCGTCATGGTTAGTCAGTTCTTCCATTAGATTTGTCAGTTTACCGAAGGCAGCTGGAGCTAAATAATGCTGTCCTACAATTTCAGTCCTGTGCATTGGAAATGATTCCATACACTAGCCTGTATAAAACAATACTAAGTTTCCCCTACTACAAATCTTGGGTTTTTGGCCCTCAACTGGACTACTACTTTTCAATCATCAGCAAATCTGGCATTCTCACCAGTTCAGCCTCGGTGTAAGTGACTAAATTTGTCAGATCTGTACTGAGTGATTTTCTACAAGTCCCATTTCGAGTGAATGGAAAATGAGGAAGATGCAAAAGAGAATTTTTCTTTTTGGCACAGATATTTTGAAACAGGGCGATGTTATCAACCGAACTATAATGTACCAATACCTGCTGTTATTGAGCTTGGGGATAGCGCAAGCATCTACATCTTCTTGCTCATAGGTATTATCGTCTCTTTTATCATAATGGGTCTGGAGCTACTCGTCAAGCATATACTCGGTGAACGAGAGGCAAAGGTAGGATGTTTTCTTACCCAATTGCCTCCAAATTGTATGTTTTTAATGTACTCGTTATTGTTTGTCATTCTCTATTCTCATTCTAGGAGTTCACTCTCCTGGTGCCAGGAAGACTATACACAGCGAAAATTATCTCAATTAAGTACGTAATAAAACAATGCCTTACATTAATTGCTTGATAGTTAAACTGAAGTGCAGGTTGTGGGAAGGTATCAGTGATGGGATGTTTCATATTTTTCCATCATATCCTGCTGCCCATCAGACAGGATTACAACTTCCAACTCATTTTAACTGTTCCTCTGAAGTAAATGGTTTTAAAACCAAGTAATGAAACTCCTTAAGCTAGCTCAAAATTATCTAGAGGCATTTCCCTCTAAAGAGACTACTAGAAAAACAAATCGGAATTTAATTGGTTTAGGATATGGCTCCGTTTGTGAGGAAGAGTCCCTACTAAACAGCCCTTTCGTACCTGGCCAAATTAAAAAATACGCTTTATGAGGTGGTAGTAGTAGTGATAAAGCGGGTTTCAAATTACCATGGGTGAAAAAAATCCTTCTTGCTCACTTTTCGTACCATATTGGGATTGCTGAGATGATCTTCTCTTTATCGGCGATTTTATTTGCTTAGATATTATGAAAAAGCTGCTGTATTATTTGTTTTGAATATTATAAAGAAAAGAGAAATACTAAGCGCAAACCATATCCTTCATTTTGTGGTCGTTAGTTGGGGTTGAGTATTTAGTTGGCGACCTTTATAACCATTTTCGGTCCTCGTGTTTATGTACCTTCATTTATTTCAATAAAACATACGAAGTGGTCAGCGCAACCCGGTCGCAAATCAGTTACGCGTAGCCTGCGGGAAGTGTCCAAAGTCTTGGTACCTATAATCCAATAACTGAAATTAACCGCTCATCCGATGTCAATAAGTATAAGTACTATTTTCAGTGGCACTTAACGCTTGGATTCTGTAAGAGCCACTATTGACATGATTTTGAAACCTTGTCCATCTATCTCTACCCTCAGGCGAAATGGTGTTAATGTGAACGTTGCGGATCGGCCGGAGACAGTTTTCATCCCAAACAGCCAACTCCACACTGATCCTCTCAAGGTGGGTTAGATAAATTTCTGTTCTATTTCCCAATTACATGCTCGGAAAACTGTTTTACGTGCAGAAGTGGCTCACACAAACTGTTTTTTACTTGTCAATTAGTGAATGATTGATATAAAAGCATCCTAGAATCTTACAAATAAATGTAGAATAGGCCTTTAAAAACGACTAATTGCAAGAAACTGAGTTGCCACTGTATTAAACCGGAGTTTCCCTGAGCGGATTGTCTGTATTTTATCGGGGCAAACAACCAGACAACCACTGGGCTAGAGTTCAGGACAGGTGCGACATAGCCGATAACCAGTGAAGGCTGCCTGAAGCTGCGCCCATGCTTGAGTTCGTCTGTCGGCTTAATCATGCTCATTTATTTGTGGAAGGTGGACCTTAGACCTAGAAGAGCAATTTGTATGCTTAAAATGTATGTAACCGCAGTCTGGGCCAGTCAGAGGGGTGTGAACAGGGACTCGTTTTTCAGAATGTTCTGGAATTATCTGCAACAACGGAGAGGTCAGGAAAATCGAACATGGATGTCTTCCTAGGGCTGCAGGCATCCCCAACATATCTTCTTTATATTTAAATTACCAAAGTAGAATCCATGGGGATTAAAATATGTCATTGGTCCATTTATCACAGAATAACCTATTTTTACGTATAAAACTCATACACAGTGTTAATTTCTTACTCTGAGTCACTCTCCCTTACTCAGCGAATGGATCTGTCAATTTTACGTTGAAATAGTTTTGTATTAGAAGTTGAATTAGGCTATACATGTCTATGCATTCTTCTGTACATTCTGTTTAAAATTCATGAATCCAAAATGCTGTTCATGTGTTCAATATTAATCGTTCAGCCTAATTTAAGATAAAAAAAATTTAAGCAGCCATAAAAAATAAGCAAATTTAGTAAATATTCGGAAGAAATAGACTTTTGTCCAATGATCTGCCTGGATTCTATAATGCAATGGCAGTTTTATCATTTGTAGGTTTAGCAATAGTAGGGTATAAAACACATGGTTAACTTGAAGTAGGTCTGAATCTAAGCAATTATTTTTCGGTAAGGTCTACAACGCATTGGACATGGGTTTGGCGGAGGGGGACTCCATTGAAGTGACATACTTTGGCAAAGCCAGTGACGGCGTAACGGAATTGTTTTGCCGATATTTCCCAAATGGCCAAAGCCCACAACTGGCTACGCTTTAGGCGTCTTCTCCCGTCTCTGACTCTTCCTTTCTGTGTCCTCCTAAATTAACATTTTTCCGGAGGGGAAAACATCTTTAAATTCACTATCCTCCAACGATTTCGAAGTTTAATATAAAAAATTCGCAGCTCTAAAAGATATGTAAACCTGTATTGGTTTCAAATGCAACAATTTAGCTTGAGACAGTAAGCAATGGAGATGAACAAGAACTGAGATAATGCAAGCTGAGTTTATCCTTATAGCACTGACACCCATCAGGATTGTTTTAAAAACATAATCCTTTCTCTAAAAACGGTTATCCAAATGGTCAGGATATAGTTAAGCATATGCAGCAATAACTTGCACAAGGGCAAGTAGCAAATAAGTACATTAGAGTGCAGCGCTCGGAGACTTCAACGTCGATGGAAGAAGAAATAATACTCAGGCAGAATACATATAGTCGGCATACGGTAGGGCTTGGGGCTACTGTTCCGAACAGCAGGCCAACCCACCGACAAAGGAACATAAGCGGAGCAACCAAGTGTCCTTGTCATCAGAACAGAGGGTTAAACAAACAGTAACGGCATTATGTATCCCCTCTCTTCTTTTGAGCACCGATCTCGGTGCTCCACTTGTTCAACCTCCTGCGCCCGACATCACAAAGCAATTGATGCTATCAGGTGAACATCCTGGAGCCGACCGTGCCAGTCATCAAATTGTCATGCAACTTAGGAGATATTTGGTTGCCAAGTCACTGATTCCTCTCGACAATTCCATTGGATCTGATATTTCGGCCTGTATGGGAACTGGAATTGGGGACTGGGGAATGGGCTGGTCATTACTAGGGTTCATATCTAGTCTCAGGAACACTGGCGTAAAAGCAGCAATGTGTGGCAAAGGACGGGATTAAATGTAGTTTGGCTGGGGTAGAGCTCCGCTTCTAATCATCCTTGCCATGTTGTTCTTACCTCAGAGCTGCCCAACCATATATGTCTAAATTCCATCCAACTGGCACAGAGGTGGCGGAGGTATCGCGTTTTCATATGTTTGACACCTTTATTTAGGTACGGTAAGCAGTCCCATTTCAAAACCTTTCCAGATAGTTCATGGCTAGCGTCGCTTTTGGTGCTAACAGTTTACCTGCAGACCAGGATTAGGGCGATTGTAGAAGGTTGCCGTAGATTTCGGGCTTTCTATTATGGGTCGTCGTCAATTCCCCATACGTAGCATTATGCTCTTTCTCCATTCAGCTAAGGTTTATCACCTAGCTAGAGGAAACAGAATAGTTGTCCTTTAAGGTGGCGTTTGCTTTCCAAAGTCGCCGTTGTGGCGGCCCGAGACTTCCCCAAAGAAGAAGGGAGATATAATACTCGGGTAGAATATATGCATTCAAAGCAAAGTAGAGCATGGACTGTTCTTATGACCTGGATGCCAAAAAGCTCATAAAAATTGCAAAAATGAGGCCCTTTGCGTTCGCAAAACTAAAAAGGTTAAATAAATGGTTGGAGAATCTCAAAATAATGAGAAAAGTGGAAAATAGCCACAGTCTTAGCTAGCCTACAAAGCACCCGCTTATCTGATTGTTATTTAAACTATTTAATGTTGGGTGAAACTATGCTTTATTTTCACTGGTTTGTTTTGTCGCATTACGGCAACTTTATTGTCGGAGGTCCGCCCGTTCTGAAGCTTGAAGTTTGTGATCATGCCTTCTCGTCTCACGAGTTATTTTGGTGTCAGGCGTGGTGGTGACCTGGTTTCTGCGAGGGTAAAAAGTCTATTGGGGGATTTTGGGGCATCGGTACCGAGGGCAGCTTCTGCTGATTCTGAACCTGCCCGACTTGCTTCTACACTTGACACTTCGACTGGGTCGCGGTTGAAAATTAAGGCCGGTATTGTCCATAAAACTAAAAGGACACGCATAGTAAGTTGGGCTGTCATCACCTTAAAAAAAATTTTGACTTAACCTAATTTTTTTTAATTCTGCTTTGTTTTCTCATGATTGCTCGCGTATTAATAGGCCAGAACTCGCAATGCAGTCGGTAAAGCCAGATTAACGCAGAAAAAACTCCCTGCACACGTACGTCTTGCGTACTTAGCGCGAAAAGAACAACTTGAGACCACTGATTTCCCTAAATCAACGGTTTCTAATTCAAGTTGTATCAGTGTCTCCCAGTACTCTCAATCCTCCATCGGTAAAGAAACACCCGGAAATATTGAACTAGTAAAATCCACAGGTTCTTTTGAATCCGAAGTTTCTTTTTCGAAGTATGGAAGTACTTCTGGGATTGTTCAGACAAAAGATGGCGGTCAAAAAATGAAGGTGGTGCCCCATGCTTCAAAGCAGTCTCGTGATCTTCCAGTAATTGCTCTTAATGCGCCTCTAATTTCGATGCAGAAACCTTTAAAAGACTTATTAAAGCCTAGTATCGAAAAGGAGACCCAGGTTCTTACGAAATCGGATAGTTGCTCCAATACCTCCCTTAAGGGAGCTGTGATTCCTTTTGGAAAAGATACCACAGCTACTGAGCGGGTTGAGTCAGATGCTGCATCTGGCTTTCCTTCTCCTTCTGCGTTGCCTCTTCCCTGTCACATGGAGCGGTTATTGGAATTATTTAGAACCTGTGAAACTCTCGTCAGTACACTTCATAATCGCTCTGAGGTGTGCAGTTTTGACAAAATCAAACCAGCTGTGCAGGAGGTAGTGCGATGGTAAGTTGCACTTCTGATACGCCTTAATCGCTCCTTAAGTGACTTCACTGAAGTAACGGTTGGAAAGTTTTCCGCAGTCTATCCCTTAGCCTACAGCTTCCGTTACGACAGACAGCTGGACAAAATAACTAAGCTTCCACTTAGCACGTACACGTTGGTTCTTGTGCCAAACTTGCGGGCAGGTGAGTTGCGGGATGTTTTTGAATTCTCGCCCAGATGGTACCCAAATGGCTCTCGATTCGCCCTCGAAGGGTCATCTTGTCTTTACCGGCACTCGGCTCATTCAGCGCCGTCATATCTTCCAGGACTCACTTCTGCTACGAGTGAAGAAGGCACATCGGGTAATTCTTTGTGCTATTTGTGGCATTGGGGGAATGCGCATCATTTATTTTTTTTTTTTGTGCTGTTTATATTGCACTAGTTTGCACTTTGTTGAATTGAATTGTATTTTCAAAGACAATTTCATCCTTAGGTTTCTTTTTAAATGAAATCTGAGGAACTAAGGGTCAATGGAGACCTTTTTTGTACCACCATTTTTTGATTACGAGATTCTCAACCTATGTATGGAGTCTACCCCTTTCATTTAAATGTCAAGCCGATTAACTAGTTAGCAATTTCGCTCAGGCATGCTTTGGGATTTTCGCCTCTAGCGTTGCTTAGGTATGGTTCAGCGTTTTTTAATTTCATCAATAGTGGATTGCACTTATTTATGCTGGAGAAATCGTTTTTCTCATTGTAGCATTTTTTTCGAGTGTACTCAACACCTTACATCAGGTGTTTTTTTGTCGCGATTTGTATGAACTAGCCGTAGTCTCCAAGTGAAAGGCGTATTTCCATTCATATATTGGTTTGGTGTGTGAAATGAACCTCTGCCGCTTTCGCAATCTTGACAAGGTTTTGGCGACGTGTCTATTTCAACAACTCGTTTCTGCAATTGTCCTCATTTTGTTCAAAAAATTGCCATATCTTTTTAAAGGTGTTATTCTCTTTATTCCTTATCAGGAGTTCCTGATGGTGCGCTTTGGTCTCTTGGAGGGGGATTTGCCTGAAGATTCAAGTCTGCGTCGATGGCATCCCGCTTTCGCGTTGGACACTGCCGTCCCCGAAGTTGAACCCGTTCCTCTACCCCCACGGCCTCTCAATGGCCCCGGCGGTGACTCCAGGATCACCTCAGCTGGCGAGGCCGTGACGACATTCCGTGAGCGCGCGCTTTTTAGAGAAGCCAGGGCCTGTGAAAAATTGGTTTCCCAGGAGGCCACCGATGAACGGAAGTTGGGGCCTCCTACTGCAGCTGCTGCCGTCACTGGTTCGAGTAAAACTTCCAACAGCGCCATTTTGAGGGGTGTTTCGGCTGCTCTACTAGCTAAAGTGAGTGAAGAGGGATATTTGACCGCATCTTACTATAATTTACTCCTTGTTGGTTTTTCAGTGTTATCATTTTCGCTGAACCTCGAGTGGTGCTATTTGCAGACAAATAGTAAACAAACTGCTTTCGGCAAAATCTGTATCGAAAGGGATTTCTGGTTTGCTTGCATTTTATGGCATATGCAGAAATGTTGGAGTTTATTTGATGAATTACATGGGCAGTGAAATCTACTTTCTGGGACATTTGTGGTGTTTTTACGTCAAATCATCTTGTTCGGATGTTTACCAGGTATTTATGTGCATTATTTTCATTCCCATTCCGTTTCGTTTCGTCGAAACTTGAGTGGATTTAGTTTTTGTGTTAAATCGAAATGACCAACATTTATGGTTATTTTTCCGTTATCAACATTTAGCCTGATTCTCAATGATTGCTCGGTTGATTCTAGCCGAATCCTGCCTATTATCCATTTCTTCGTGACATCTAAGTATACACCGATAAAGCCATCTTAAGAGTCGGTTATCCATTAAGTCTATAGCTATTTCTTCACGATGCGCTCAATGTCTGTTGCATTAAGTTGATCACTCGAAATAATCTAATTTCCATCCTAGACATTCTAGAGGTGAGTTGAAATATCCAACCAGTAAATGAAACAAATCAATGATTTGCATTTTAGGGCCTGGAGACCTGTTTCTCTTCCACTATTGCCTCACCTAAATGTTCTTTAGGTGAACAGTTTCACCTCTATTTAATGTTGGACCCTCACTGTCCGTTCTCCCTCGAAACAGGTACGTGAGCGCGAGAGGCAGCTAAACTTCTCCATCCTAACGCAACCAGTCGCCTCAGCTTCGGAGAGGGCCGCCTACTCCGCCCTGCCGGTGACCGTCACGCAGATCTGGCGCGAGCTGCGGCGTGCCAGCAGACGTCCGGTCCCAATTTCCCTCATCGCCACGCGACTCGTCCAGTCCAGTGGATCTGGTCTCTCACTTGGTCGGTCACTTTTTTGCACACTTTGTGGGGCCACTATTCACCTAAAAAAGCGCATCTAACTCGCCATATCGAATACGCCTTCTCTTTTAGTTTATGAGAATAGATTTTTAGTTTTTTTCAAAATACGTGGAATCCGACCAAGTAGTGGAATTCTGTTTTGTTTACTTGTAAGATTTGTTTCATCTGCTTATGTTGCCAATAGTTTTTGATTCGTCCATTTATATCACATCACTCGCTTTTTTTCTTCGGCCTATGAAATGGCGGAAGACACCGTGTCTGTCATTCATGAGATTTCGCTGTGTTTAAAGCTGCTTTTCGTCAATTTTTTGCATAGCAGCAATTATAGCACCTTTTAGATGTTCTTCGTCCAAAAAGGGCAGGTAGTACTCCCCACATCTTCCATATAACTATTTAAGTGTCTTAACAATGAACTATACGCATTCGCACTATTTTGTGTGCTCTGAAACAGGATTATTTCTCATATGATAAAAAGGAACATGATGTCATTTGCATTTTGCTAAAAGTTTAACAGATTGTTGTGGCTGAACGGTGTTACCTTTTTCACAGTGTTTTTCCAACTCGAAAATGGTGCTTATATTGCTTCCTCAGTTGTTTTTTTGTCTATTTTGATGGCTGCTAGACCATACTGGACATTTTTTGAAATGTACATAACCTCTCTTGGAATAAGAATCCACGCGTTAAAGGCATACTGAAGGTGACTCGAAGTAGGCCCTTTATATCAACTACGTTTTAGACTTCATAGATCTGTAAAAAATGTTGAGTACAGTACAAGTCATAGAAATTGATTAGAACTTGAATAAGCCTGTCATGAAAGTAAGATAATCTTATCACTTACCTCTGGGTACATTTTGCAGTCTATCCGTCTCAATGGTAGCGCAAAGGTTAATACCATCCATCAAGTCGTTTATATACATGTGGTTCTAGAAAGTTATGCGATAACTAATGATTTTGTTAGCTATTGCCTTTATAACTTGTGGCAGCCAACTAAGCTTCGTTGTCGTCTCAGAACGTACTCCCTGGCCCAAGAATTACGCTTATGCCATTTACGACTTCATTTATTTACTGTTCCGAAGCTCAATACAGCAAATTGGAATTTCTTGTAAGACGAGGAACTGGTTTTGAAAGCAGACTTTGCGTATTAGGATAGACCTCATAAGCTCAAACGCCTTGCTACCTTGTATTGACTATATTTCACTCCTTTAGGTAGGAATGGAACTAGCTTCCAGATTCAAAAGCAATGTTATGAATCGAATTGCCTTGATTTTTTGATTTTCAGTATGTAAGGCAAGATAAAAGTACTTACTCCTGAGAGGTTTCTTTGGAACAGACAAAAGGATTTTAGCTATACTTTTTCCGCTTAATTGGAACCATTTTAAAATTATGCCTTGAACTATCAGTATGAAGTAAATGGAATATCGAATTATTAAGTCATCTCATAATGTTAATGATTCCATGTTGTCATGACTAAAACGACTTGGAAATAGTTCAGTCGTCTGCGAATTCCGCAGTTATTTACCACAAATCATCTTTAATCACGGCGTGCGATTTTTTCTCTTGATGTGGGTTCCTCTATTCTATTGATGCGATGTCGTGTCTGTTTCTTGTATTATTTATTATTTGCCCAATAAGTGGCATTATTCTTCTTGGGTTTGGCTTTGCGGACCTCTGCTTTCGATGTTAAGTTTTCATGAGCCCTTCTCCCATTTTGTTTTTTTTTTCATGTATTTATCTGATTTGTATTGAAACTTCGCAAAAAAACTGCCTCAATTCTCTCTTCACTGTGAATGGTGAATCTAGTCGTCGATGCTTAGAAAGTCTGTCACTGGCATCCTATATTTGGCGTCCCAACAGTATAAATATTTCCCGTGTATTTTCGTCAGCTTATAATAATTGGTTGTGCCAAATCGTGTCTCTATTTATTGGTTGTTTCAATCAATAAATGTGTAACGTTCTTGGTCCAGAAATGTCTTTATCTTCTGAATTTTCTATTATTTTTTTAATTGGTTCACTCTGCTGCAAGTGCTAACGTCATATTAAAACGATAAAACATCTGGTGTATTAGTCGATTGTTTTCTCAGGCTCTGGCTCTGAACATGTTACCATCCTATTTATGATGCGGCCATGTAATTAGTTACCCCTCCTTCCTAATAAATCCACAGACGAGGCAATGGCTCGAATCGAAAAATTGCTTACGCTGATGCCTGATTGGGTGGAGAAGGTCGCCTGGGTGCGACCCTATTTGCGCTTCAAGGGGAACAGCGCGAATCGACCACTGAGGGAGGTAATTGACGAGGTGAAGGCCAAGGCAGTCAAAAAGGATGTTCTTTAAACTCCCTTTTTACGTGCGCATTTGCGTGACACCTCTGCCCTTTTCTGTCCCCCTCACTTTGTCTATTGTATATGTATGCATTTAGATTTTATCCACTCTCTTATGTTGATGAAGTTTCCCAAAATGTGTATTGCCCGCATAATAAAATCACCAAATCAGATTTTTTTTTTCTTTCACTGAAGTAGTCGCGTTGCTCCTATCC